AACTTCGAACAGTCACTAAGCGAACTGTTGTAAGTCGAGGACTACCTGTACTTTTATCACTTTTTTCCTTTTTTTTGGTCATCAAGTTTTTGACACCTTGCTAGGCGACTGGTGGTACTTGGATGTTGCCATATCCTAAAAGTGGTATAATGGGTGAAAAAGGGTCATGTCACTTTTTTCAGTGCCGTTGTTACTTTGAATGGCCATTTAAACCCCTGTCTCATTTAGCAAGGGAAATGTTGGGTCAATTACGGTCGTTAAGTCGAGGACTACCTGTACTTCAGTTAGTCAAAACACCGAGCAAGGTCAAAGCTCATATTCTCACCATGTCGATGCAATGTATTGATTTTATTTTATTGAATTTTTATGCTGCTTATCTCCTTTATAAGGTGACTCTGGGTGGAGACGGGAGAATCTGTTTTTTTGCAAACTAAGGACCAAACCCTCGGTAGGTAAACTCAGTCCCGCTTCTTTTCTACCAAGCAAAAACATTCAGACAAGCCTCGGATGAATCATATGGAATAGCTGCCGTTGCCATGGTTTTCAAACAATCTTGGCTTTCAAGGCAAAATACTCACACCCACAAGTTGTGCCCGCATCCCGAACCTGGCACCTGGCCAACTGCAATCATAGAACTATGGAATTGTTTCTGCCAAGGAGAGCAAGCAGGACCTTGGCACCCCTAAGTGATCCGTCTGTTCCTTGGCAAAGTGCGTCCCAACTCTGTAATCTTTCTAAAGAAGGATCAGCCACCTGCAAAGCCTACAGCAGGCCTGCATGTCAAACTCGTCACATCACGTGACGTTGCGTGACTTTTTCCCCATTGCTGGCAATGGGGTGGGTGCGGTTTCGGCATGACGCATCCGGCCTGCGGGCCGGCAGTTTGACATGCCTGGTCTACACTGTAGAACAGTGGTGGCGAACCTATGGCACGCGTGCCAGAGGTGGCACTCGGAGCCCTCTCTGTGGGCACGCGCGCCATGCCCCGGAGATGGCAACCGTCCCTCTTCAACCAGCCGCCTGCTAACTCGCCGAGATCCCATTGCACCCATGCGCTTGCTGGCCTCTGTGTGCGGGGGCCGATGGTGTCAGGCAACAGCCGCCCCGGCCCCTGCCTCGCCTTGCCCTGCGACATTGGCACCCCCGCCCCGCCCTGTCTTGCCTCGCCTCACCCCGCAGGACAAGCCTCCTGCCCACCACCCCACCCACCAGAGACCCCCTGGATCTCCCCCAACCCTGCCCGGCCCCCATAGGCATCTCTCCCCAGGAGCAACATTGAGCTGGCCACGCCCACCCTGGCCACACCCACCCATCTGCCATGGCCACCGTAGCTACGCCCACCCAGTGGGCCACGCCCACCCAGCACCCAGCGATATATAAGTGGGTTTTGGGTTGCAGTTTGGGCACTCGGTCTCTAAAAGGTTCGCCATCACTGCTGTAGAAACTCGGCAAACATATAGTAATCATCGACTTTTACGACCGCAATGTGGCTGTTAACCTGCTTTTTTTGGTGTTTTTCTGCTGCAGTTGTTAAGTGAATGATGTGGTTGTTAAGCGAATCCAGCGTCTCCCATTGGCTTTGCTGACTGGAAAGGTCACAAATTGTCAGGCGCAAGTAGCCAGGAACAGGAGTCAAGTTCGAAGCATTAAACGTTTATTATATGCTACCTACACACAAAATTCTGATCTACTAACAGTCAAATCAAATTGGCGCCAGATAAGAGGGTTGAGCTTAGGCCTCTTGCAGCTATGTAAGGATTCCAAACTGATGACGCATTTGACCCTGCCTTCAGTCTCTGCCGGGTCACCTCCTACACAAGATAGCAATCAAATAACCCTGGGACACTGCAATTATCATAAATACATGTTGGTTACTAACATCCAAAGCGTGATCATGTGGCCGTAGGGATGCTGAGACGGTTGTAAGTGCGAGGACCAGTTATAAGTCACCTTTTTCAGTGCCATTGTTACTTCACAGGGCAACGGAACAAATGCTTGCAAACCTGTATTCTTTCAGCCTAGACCGAGATGGCCAAAATGCCATATCCTGCTTTTTAGTCCCAGAAGTGCTTTTTCCAAAAGGCAACTGGACTTTCCCCCCACCCTAAAAAAATTTTGAAGAAGCTTCTTGGATGAGAAGCGAAATGTTAAGAAAAGAAAGAAAGAAAACAAGTCCAGTTGCCTTTTGGAAAAAACACCTATGAGACAACTGTGATCTAGATGATTGAGAATCTCCATATCCTGCTTTTTAATCTTTTTTTCTCCTGGCTTCTGTGTGACTGATAGTATGATGATGCCACTAAAGTCAGCACTACTAAAATTTACAGCCTGGTTGTTGTTTTTTTCATATGGAGAGGGATCATCTGAATGAGGTTGTGGTGAGTAATATGCCTTCCACCAGCTCAACTACCCACAACTGCTGGATAAATACATAGTAGAATTCTATTTTAATCAGGAAGTGCTGATATTAATCAGGAAGTGCTGATTAGGGGATTGGAGGCTAAAGCATATAAGGAACGGCTGCTGGAATTGGGGATGTCTAGCTTAATGAAGAGAAGGACGAGGGGGGACATGATAGCAGTCTTCCAATATTTGAGGGCCTGTCACAAAGAAGAGGGGGTCAACCTACCTTCCAAAGCGCCTGAAGGCAGGACAAGAAGCAATGGATGGAAACTAATCAAGGAGAAAAGCAGCCTAGAACTAAGGAGAAACTTCCTGACAGTTAGAACAATTAACCAGTGGAACAACCTGCCTCCAAAAGCGGTGAATGCTCCAACACTGGAAGTTTTTAAGAGACTGGACAGCCATTTGTCCGAAATGGTATAGGGTTTCCCGCCTGAGCAGGGGGTTGGACTAGATGATCTCCAAGACAAGAAGGTGGTGCAGAGAGTGGCGAGGACGGCCGAAAAGATCATTGGCAGTTCCCTCCCTCCCATCCAGGACATGGAACAGAAGCGTTGCTTGAGCAGGATCCGTAAGATTATCTGGGACGCTACACATCCTCTTCACGACCTGTTTTCCTTGTTACCTTCGGGGAGGAGGGGGCTTCGTGGTATCCGAAGCAGAACATCCAGATTCAGCCATAGTTTCATTCCATACAGCATTAAACTTGTGAACTCTCAAGCTTCCTCCTTCCATTATATATTCAAGATGGGACACTGTTTAATATTTGTTAGGTATCTGTAGGGGTGTGGGTCTATATATATATTGTATATAGTATGTTTAGGTGTCTGTCATGTACGTATTCACTTTGAGAGCAGGCAACTAAATTTCATTTTTGATGTATGCCATTGTGCCCACAGTATAAAAATGACAAAGGTTATCTTATCTTATCTTATCATCTTATCTTATCTTATATCTTATGAAAGAGTACTAGCAATCAGATGACTGCAAGGAATATAAATCCTTCCATTCTCCACCCTTCTGTCAGAACTGAAGAAGCTTCTTGGATGAGAAGAAAAATGTCTTCAAGAAACTTCCTGACAGTTACAACAATTAACCAGTGGAACAACCTGCCTCCAGAAGCGGTGAATGCTCCAACACTGGAGGTTTTTAAGAAGAAACTGGACAGCCATTTGTCCGAAATGGTATAGGGTTTCCTGCCTGAGCAGGGGGTTGGACTAGATGACCTCCAAGGTCCCTTCCAACTTTATTATTATTATTATTATTATTATTATTATTATTATTATTATTATTATTATTATTATTATTATTATTATTATTATTATTATTATTATTAAAAACAAAACAAAGAAAGCCCAGTTGGCTTTCAAAACAGCACCTGTGGGACTTTGAGGATAGTGATTCCCAATGCATTAGACTACAAGACCTGTTATTCCAAGCTAGCACAACTAACAATGGTGCAGAGAGGCACAGTCCATTCCTTCTGATGAGCCACAGATTACTGATTTATTGCTGGGCTTATAGGTCATTCCAACTGGGAATAATTCTTGAGCAGCATTCACCCAAATCTCAATAAATTGCAATATAACAACAACAACAAAAACGCAATTCAATATGGTTTACTCCACCCATGTACAGCAGCATTGGGTTTAAAGAAAGCTATTCCAAAGAGATGATGTCCTTCAATGTTAAAAAGCCTACATAAGGCAGCAGGAAATTTCTTAACTGTTTCAAGGAACAAGCCGGTTTATTCCCACTAAGCTGTCACAGGGAAGCAGGCTTCTAATAACAATGATTTAACTGCTGCTGTAGTACAGCACAGTATGTTCTTCCGAGGCCACGGGATGTTCACCAAACAAAACATTGCTCAACTAGCAAAATTAAACGATTAGGTGCTCCTGGACATGAACTGGTAAACAAATAGGCCCAATGTTCCACCAGAGGGATGGGATGGATCCCATCAAACCAGTTCCTCGGAAGAAGGAAGAGTCTTCTGCAATTTTGACAAACCAAAGCAGACATGTCAAACACAAGGTCCGGGGGCCGGATGCGGCCCGCGAAGTGGTTTCATACGGCCCACGAAACCATCCTGGAAACAGTGAGGGAATGGCTCCCACTGCCTTGGCCTTGGCCCAGACCGGCCGGGAGCCAATGTACAATTTTGTGCTGGCCATCTATGCTGAAACGCATTCAGTCTTAGCTCCACAAGGCCATCTAGAAACAGTGAGGAACCAGCCCCTGCCGTGTCAACCCCGTCCCCTGGGTGCATGCTGGGGAGGTGTCACCCTTTGTGAGGAATGAAGAAATGGACCATGCCTTGGCGCTTGCCCCGGTCTCACCCCCTTCTGCCCGAGACCCTCAGATCTGTCCCACTCCTGCCCAGGCCCCCACGGGCACCCTTGACGCGAACGATGTAGAGCTGGCCACGCCCACCCAGGTCACACCCACTCCATCCACGCCCACCCAGTAGGCCGTGCCCACCCTGGCCACACCCACCTGCCCCCCCCCGAGGGCAATCGCAATGCTGATGCGGCCCTCAATGAAATTGAGTTTGACACCCCTGAACCAAAGTGATCGAACGAGGTGACGAACGTTACCTGATTGGGCTGAATTCTGGGCACGTACACTTTCCACATCTGAGCTTCCCTAGAGATTGCCATCTCTAGGAGGATGGACAACCTCTGATTCTCCAGGGGTCCCGAAAACTTCATGGTACCCCTTGGATACAGCTACCTGCAAATGAAGGAGAGCACAAAACAAACAATGAGCGATGTGAAAAGTAGCACACATTTGCACACCAGGTTTCCCCCCCCCCCCCCCCGATTTTTTTGAGCTTCACTTCCAATCTGCAACACCTTGTTTTGCCCCCAGCAAAACTACTCTGGGATTCCACCAGAGGGAAGAACGAGAAACAATGGTTGGAAGCTGATCCAAGAGAGAAGCAACCTGGATTTAAGGGGAAACTTCCTGACAGTGAGGACAATCAACCAGTGGAACGGCTTTGCCTTCAGAAATCGTGGGCGCTCCATCGCTGGAGGTTTTTAAGAAGAGGCTGGACAGTCACCTGTCTGAGACGGTATAGGTCACTGGTGGCGAACCTATGGCATGGGTGCCAGAGGCGGCACTCAGAGCCCTCTCTGTGGGCACGTGCGCCGTCGCCCCAGTCCTAGGCCTTCAGCTGGGTTTTATAAAACCTTTTCGCTTTAGGCCTCTGCTGCCGTGTGCAAAAAAAAAATAATCAATCAATCAATCAGTCAATTTCAACTTCTTGCGGGTAAAAAAAAGATCTTGCAAAGTTGGAATTGATTGATTGAACTTTTTAGTCCCACCCAGTCTGCTGTTACCACCGCAGCCACGCCCCCCAATGGGCCACACTACCCCCAATGGGCCACACCCAGCCAATGGGCCACACCCAGCCGACACCTGACGATGCATAAGTGGGTTTTAGGTTGCAGTTTGGGCACTCGGTCTGTAAAAGGTTCGCCATCACTGGTATAGGTTCTCCTGCTTGAGCCGGGGGCTGGACTAGAAGACCTCCAAGGTCCCTTCCAGCTGTATTCTAATTCCCTGCTCCCATAATCATTTTCTTCTGATTTGCTCCCTCAATGGCTTATCCAAGGTTCCTCAATGAGATTGGAAATGGCAGGTAAGCTTCTCCAAAGGGCCAAGTAACCAAAGTCCCTGTAAAATCCAAACACAGAAGACTACTGGGTATAAAGCAGGGGCCCTCAACTCCCAGTCCGTGGCCCAATATTGTTGGGAATGGGGCCCTGCAAGCATCAGGCAAAGCTCAATTTGCAGAAGCAGCAAACGCATGAGCAAAACCAGCCTCTATATAAATATAAAGGACCTATATAAATATAAAGGACCAGTAAAACAAGCTATTTAAGGTTATCTGGAGAGTCAAGATAGATCTCTCTTCCAATCACAATCCCTACAGATTCCCAACTTATTATTCAGACCAGATGCATTTGCCTCCACAAGAATTCCCCCCCTTACAATTACTCATTTAGTGACCATTCAAAGGTACAACGGCACTGAAGAAGGCAACTTACGACCGATTTTCACACTTACAAGCTTTGCACCATCCCCATGGTCATGTGATCAAAATTCGGACAGGGTCCGAATTTGCGGTGTCCCGGGGTCATGTGATCAATTGGAAAGTCAGGTTCACTTTAACAATTGTGTTAGTAACTTAACCGTTGCAGTGATTCACTTAACGATGGTGGCAAGAAAGGTTGTAAAAGGGGGCAAAATTCACTGAACAGCTGCCTTGCTTAGCAACGGAACTTCTGGGCCCAATTGTCGAGGACTGTCTGTATTCCTCTCTAACCGCAAACCTTGCTAAAAACTTTCGAGGCTGCTACAAGGCCATGGGAAAGAATCTGAAGCTTGGAATTTCTGCTGCCAAATGTTGAAAACTGAAACCCATCAGCCTGGAAGCCGGCCACCTTCTCGTTGGTCAAGCTGCTGACAAAGTCCGACCCTGACAGATTTAATCTAGATGGCTTCACTTTCCTGCTTGTTTACAAGCAACCGTTCTACCATGAAAGTTGGCAACTAAAGCAAAAACTGTTCCAAAACTATTTTAAAAAAAAATCAACATCAACAATTTGTAATGAAACTTTCTGAAAAACAGCCAATTCCATATTTTCAGAGCAACGTAAAAAACTGGAGAGATTACAGGCCGAAGGCTTTGATGAAAAGAATATTGCAAAGTTATCTCCAACTTATTATCTTTTCAGGGGCGACCAAACAAAATCTTATTCACTTGCAGGCCTGGCCATCCTGTTTAATAAAAGATCCTACTTCCAAAGTCAACGTCGTTTTGCAAGTTGAATGTCATGTCCTGTCTCCGTGAACTGAGCACTTGGTTGGGGAAGGCTGTTCCACACTCTTTTCAAAGAGTTGAAGGTTTGGGAACACCATATCCACATCTGATCTTGAAAAAAGACCAGCTGACTTCCAATAAAAGGTTAATAAGTAATATAATAGGAAGACCACACCTGGAATACTGCCACCAGTTTTGATCACCGCATTACAAAGATGTTGAGACTTTGGAAAAAGTGCAGAGAAGCACAACTAAGATGATTAAAGGCCTAGAGTCTAAGATGTATGAAGAATAATTGCAGGAATTGGGGTATGGCTAGTCTAGAGAAAAGAAGGACTAGGGGGGACATGATAGCAGTATTCCAGTATTTGAGGGGCTGCCACAAAGACGAGGGGGTCAACTTATTTTCCAAAGCACCAGAAGGCAAGACAAGACACAATGGATGGAAACTAATCAAGGAGAGAAGCAACCTGGAATTAAGGAGAAACTTCCTAACTGTGAGGCCAATTAACCAGCAGCTTGACTTCGGACGTTGTGGGTGCTTCATCACTGGAGGTTTTTAAAAAGAGACTGGACAGCCACTTGTCTGAAACAGTATAGGGTCTTCTGCTTGAGCAGGGGGCTGGACTAGAAGACTTCCAAGGTCCCTTCCAGCTCTATTCTGATTCTGAATTTCATTTGGTCCACTTACCTTGACATTCTGTAAACTGTCATGGTCCATGTTACAGACAAACCACTAAGCGTACATTTGTTGAGGTGCCCATTCTTTCTCTACTGCCATCCTGGTATGTACCCTCTTGCTACTGTTCCGGTCAGAAGTAATCAGAAGTCAGTGAGGAAAGAGGAAGTAACTTTGGGTGATGCAAGCAGAGACAGGAGTGAGAAACTAAGTGACTCACAGGGGGAGGGGGAAACCCACGAGTGTCACAAAGTTTATCCACTGATAGTAAAGTTTATCCACTGATAGTCCATCTCAACACGGGGCCCTCCAGATGGAGACTTTAACACCCATAATCCTTAACCAGGATGCAGACTTTTTTTTTCAAGCTTTAATTTTTAAACCTGAAACGTGTACGACTTTATGACAATTGAGCCCCAAAATTTCTGTTGCTAAGTGAGACAGGTGTTGAGTTTTGTCCCATTTTACAATCTTTTTCTTGCGACAGTTGTTAAATGAATCACTGCAGTTAAATGAATCAACTGCAGTTGCTAAGTTAGGAGCACAGTTATTACGTAAATCTGGCTTCCCCCAGACTTTGTCAGAAGGTTCAAAAGGGGGGGTCACATGACCCTGGTCATAAATATGAACGAGTTGCCAAGTGTCTGAATTTTGATCATGTGACCATGGGGATGCTGCAAATGTTCGTAAGGATGAAAAACGGTTGAAAGTCACTTTTTTCAATGATGCTGTAACTTCCAATGGTCACTAAACGACTACCTGTTTATGTGTTCATTTATATTAGAATTGTTTTAACCCGGCAAGCCAGTTTGGGAACTTTTCAAAAACAGAAAGGCAGCATGTAAATTCAATAATATATTTTTTAAAAATATAAAGAGCTGGGGGTTATCTTTAATGCCTAAAATGACTTGGGCCCAGATTACCAGAGAGAATTCCTTCTTCAATGTAAACCCAAGCTAAAAAATTCCAAACATAGATGGTACGGCAATGTTCATTAACAAAGGTCTTACTCCATTAAAAACATGGAAATCCATAACAATTGCCTATCCCTGGCCTAGACACTAAATATATACAGTGGTACCTCAGTACTCATCGTTACTTGATTCTGTGAGGCGCGATAAGTACCAAAAACTATGAATACCAAATAAGTATTTCCCATAAGGCATAACAGAGTGAGTCACAAGGCAGCTGACATCAACAAATTCTAGCTTGTACCAAACAAACGATGAGTAACAGGACAAAATTTTTGCGTCAAAATGCAGTGAGTACCAAATTTGATTAGTTTCAAAGCAGCTGAATACCGAGGTACCACTGTAAGCAGATACCAACTTTCATCAGATTTAAGACAGTCATTTCCATGGCTTCACAATAAAAAGTGGGGAGGCGGGAAATATGTTTCTTTTTCAGCCCTAAAACTTGTGAGAAATCGTGACTAGGCGTGAAGATCTGGACCAAATCTTTGTTCAGATCCTTGGAAAAAACAGTTCACGGAGGAAGATGGAAGCCTATAAAAGATCTTCCTGAGTTTCTTGGATGCAAAGGTCCAACCGAGTAGGACTATGCAAGATAAGAGGTCCTCTCCGAAAGCAAGATGAGGAGGAGGAGCTTTGGTTGAAGATTTCAAATGTCCTAACTTAACTTGAAGAAGAACAAGGTGTGACTTCTGAAGAACCTTACACAATTGATTCTCAGTTTAGAACAGTGAACAAAGAACAACTATCTGGAAAGGCCACATCAGGAAGTATCTTGAGCGTCCTAATAAAACGTACCACGGTGAGAATTGGACAACTGTTTTGGTCAGTTGGTCATATTCCGTTTCCATTCCGTTCTGTTCTCCTTCATTCTGGATATTCCAGTATTTTTCCACTGTTGAGAGATCACCAAGAACTGAGACTTTGGTATAAGTTTCTTTGGGATTACAGTCTGATCATTTTTCACTCTTCTGAACTCTATCAAGGTTTCCTTCTCAAGGATGGATATGAAGAAGGCCTCTCTCCGATGCATTGCGTTTCCTAATTTTTTACAAAGAGCAGCATTTGTTCTGAGTAGATGGTGCATCTTTGGCTGGAACTTGGCTGGAACGGAAAGATCTGTTCCAGTGACAGAAGGTTTAACAACACATCCACACCTGCTTGTTATGAGGACAAACTTTGCACAACAAAATGAAGACATGGGAGCCATCATATCTGATGGGGAACTTAAGCTTGGAAAATGACGATAGGA